GAGTTCCTCGTCATGGAAGAAGTAAGCTATGGTTGTGTAAATGATTTATTTAGCAAAACATAAATGTTTAATATCTGAATTACTAGTCTTTTCTCGATCATATTCAAAGATTTGTATTATACTATTAAATCAGCTATAAATAGCTTTTACTACCTTAATCTTTACATTTAGTTAAACATTTTTACATTTACAAATCCGTTTCTTTTTAAAATATTTTATATCTTATTGAAAGTAATAGAGCTATAGTCCTAATGCAACCATTTTTTGTCACTATGTAATATTTGTAACGATTTAATGCAATACCATAACTGATTAGAGCTTTGCACATATTCATGTATTCGACGCGATTTTCTAAAAGAGTAAAGCGGCAGCTTTTTGTATAATAAATAAAAAAATTAATAGTTTATTTAAGCTTGTAAAATTAGGCTTTCAAATCTAGTGATCGAAACACGTAATGGAAGCTCTTTGTATTCTAATCGTTTGAACTGTATAAACCATTGTGGCTTTAACTTCAGAAAAGATTCACGAGAGATCGGAAGCACCTAATGAAAGCTCAGCTTGGTGAAATGTTGCTAGAAAAATAGATGTTTGTGAACATTATCTTTCACAATTACAGCCCTAATTTGTTTAATCTTGCAAAAACCGTGAATTAACATGTTTAAGTATAATACATGCATATACTATATATGATATAACTATAATTTAAACTATAATTCAAGTTGGCATTCTGGCAACTTAAAAGTTGTTCGGGATTCTAATTTGAGTTTATTTTACTGTATTATGGTGTTCGTAATTTGAGCTTATTTTATCGTATCATGGTGTTTGTAATTTGAGTTTATTTTATCGTATTATGGTGTTTGTAATTTGAGTTTATTTTATCGTATCATGGTGTTTTTCTTGTAATTTTATACTTTCGAGTTCATTTTTATTTATACAAAATTATATTCAAATCTGTTTATTTGGAAATATATTTTTAATGCAATCTGTTTGTGCTTTATTGTATATTATTTTATGTTTTAATTAGTATCATTAATCTTTTATTCTGTATAGCCCATTTAGTTGTTCAAGCCTCAAATGTTTATTACGTTCATTATTTATTTTTCCCTGTGAGTGTCATGGTGTCTCGAGTGTCATCTAAGTAAATTAGTACAGAAACTAGAGCTGAGCTAATTAGACTTATTAATTTATCTTTCAATGTTAAATTTTAAAGTTTAGTTCGATGGATGTCCAGATATAAGAAAGAAACAAGATTTTTATTTAGAAGTTTCCTTAGTTTTACGTCTCCCATTGGGACAGCGATCTGTGAACTTACAACGATAAAATCAAAGGTTCGATTCCCCTCTGAAGACGCCATAGATAACCAAATATGACTTTGCTAAGAAATAAACAAACCAAAATTTTACATTTTGTATTTAGAACATATCTTCATTCAGATGTATTCAAATATGTTTTGACTGTGACAGTATGTTTGTATTTTCAAATAATTCAGATATCTCGTGATAATTTTACTTCATACAGACTTTCGACCTGATAGCATTATATACGGCGAGGTTAAGTATGTGCCTTCGGTTTGTGTGTCAACATGTTTATTTAAGACATTAATTAAAAGAAAACAGAGAGGCAGCTCGTGTTGACTTATGAAATCATCATAGGATTCCGAAAAAGAGAGTAAATATGCAACGTGTATTTTATTCGTTTTGAAATACTATTTTGAAATAGTAATATACATAAACATCGGTATGTTAACAGTTCTGTAATAAATATACAACATAAAACAAACGAATCAACCCCTGATATCAAATTTACGAGAAAAGCGGGTAAATTGTAGACCTCTGTTATAAAACGTCATACTTTTGATTGGAAATGTGTTATTTATTCCTTGCCAAGTCCTGCTTCTTTTAGTGTTTTTAGAAAGGGGGCGGGGGCAGCGTATGGAAAGGCGGGTGCGCTGTACTTCAGAGCAGGGCGAACAGGTACAGAGAAAGCGGGGACAGGAGCCGGAGCAGCCACCCGAACCTTCAATGGAGCAGGAGCAGCAATAACCTTTTTATAAGCGGGTAGTACGACCTTGGGACGGACGGCAGGAACTTCAATGGGCTGCAAACCTGCTGGTGGTTCTTGAGCAGAAACTTGAACGTCCGCCGGGCTCTGGTTAGAAGTTCCAGGTTCATTCGTCAAGATGGATGCTTGAAAGCCTTCAACACCAGCAGTGTATTTTACTTCCCTCCAGACGCCGTTGGGATCGATGTAGCCGTAAGATCCCTGAACGTTGCCGTTTCCATCTCCACTCTCTTGGCGACTGAGAGATGTGCCCAGCTCATCTTGAACGTTGAAACCAGTGTCGTAGGGAATGGGCTCACTGAGGTCCTAAATATAAACAAAACGAACTTCTTGAATGGGCTAACCGAGGTCCTAAAAATAAACAAAACGAACTTCTTGAATGGGCTAACTAAGGTCCTAAAAATAAACAAAACGATCTTCTTGAATGGGCTCACTGAAGTCCTAAAGATAAACAAAACGATCTTCTTGAATGGGCTCACTGAGGTCCTAAAGATAAACAAAAATGAACTTCTTGAATGGGCTCACTGAGGTCCTAAAGATAAACAAAACGAACTTCTTGTATGGGCTCACTGAGGTCCTAAAGATAAACAAAACGAACTTCTTGAATGGGCTCACTGAGGTCCTAAAGATAAACAAAACGAACTTCTTTCATTTATTTTATTGTTATTTGGGCTTGTCAAATAAAGCAAAAGAATAAGCATTTTGTTACATTATAATATATCACGATGTAACCATATAAGCAAACATACCACACGATCGCAAACATTTTGTTACATTATAATATATCACGATGTAACCATATAAGCAAACATACCACACGATCGCAAACATTTTGTTACATTATAATATATCACGATGTAACCATATAAGCAAATATACCACACCTTCGCAAACATTTGTTTACGTGATAACGAAGTATTTAATTTTATTTAGAAAGAAACAATACTTACATCAACTGGTAGTGGAGCGTAGCCAGACAATACGGTAACCACCGCTGTTAGGAAGATGAATCCCTGTAAAAAGAAACACACATGAGTGTCTAATATAATGCTTTTAATCAAAATTATATATTCACACATATATTACGGTAAAAGAGTTTTTTACGAAACTTAACATTCTCAAACCAAAAAAGTGTAACCTAACTTCAATTACTAAGTATACGTTCCATTAAAATTCCACGATACGACTTATTTTTAGTGGTAATAAGAAACTCGTTTAATCAAAGCTAAGTTTAATCGACTAAGATAAAGTTGATAAAAACGCATTTTGAAAGCTGTACGCAGAACATTTTGTCAACTTATTGTTTATAATTTTATATAATTTACACCTTAAGGCGTTGCATACGTTGTAGAAAGTATGAACGGTTTTACGGGAACATTTGTAATGTGCTGGTTTATAATGAAGCACATTATTCCTACAATCGGGTATGTTGGGTATAATATGAAGTACTTTTTACCTTACAAAGTTGTGAAGCAAAGCATTGATGAGCAATACTAAATGTTGAAATTTGACATATAGTACGTATTTAGTTTCAATTAATATTTTCGTAGGTAGCGATTTCTATTGATAAATCAATGAATATTTAAGCCTATCCACTCAATGTTTTCTTTACTTTGTACAAGGACCATTTCCTCCTTTGCTGAGCATTTCCTTGGGTAGATTACAATTGTACTTTTGTTATTAAGAAGATCGCTTTCTACCAAGAACTTCCTACGAGGAAGTAAATTCATAAGGTTTTGGAATCCTTTAAAAGTCTAGCCCAGGGTTACGTGAGAATCATGATTAATTATATTTCTGTCAGAAGTTTCCGTTAATCTAAAATAATTATTTTGTACCATTCCCATGGTTAAAACTCTTTCTGCTAAGGGCTGAGCTCGACTCTGTGGTTAACGTGCTGAAATACGGTTTCGTGGTTCGCGCCCCGTTCCCACTAAAAATATCATGCTTCGCACTTTTCGACCGTGAGTGCATTATAAGAGTGACGGTCAAATCCCTCTATCTGCTTTCTCTCTAGTCCATCACTTCAAAATTAGGAACGGCTAGCGGAGATAGCCCTTAAGTAGCTATGAGTAGCTGCCAACACTTTTATTGGTCGAACAGAATTTGCATGGTTACTAGAAAATAAATTCCTCTGAAGCTCCACACGGTGGTAATAGAGTTTTTTTGATTTAAGATCATTTATTTCTTTAAGAGAACTTCTGTGGGACGAACATAAATGTAAGGCAAATAACGCATTTAAACCTTCATCTCACAATGAAAAGAACAATAATATTTTATATCTCAACTGAAACAATTAGCTCTTTTTCTTCCAAGCTAATACTGTCTACCTTATGAAACAAGTTAATTAAATAGAAGTATTTAATAATATAGATGAGTAGATTGTAGTCTTCAATTTTACTGGCTGTATATTATTCAACACAGCTTTAAGCTTACCTTGCAAAACATGATAGAACAGAGAAAATCAGTTGAGTTTTCTAACCACACCGTTGGCTGCAGGATATTGGAAGCGAACGAACTGTTGAGCTGTAAAAAGACTGCTCTTTTATACTTACAGATTGCCAGGTCAGGAGATTCAAGTCATCCCCACCCATCTGAGGAATGTATGCAGCCATGAAATAGGTGAAAAGTCTTGTTTTAAAACAACAACAACAAAACATTATATATAAATATCACATTAAACCCCTCCTCAGACAAACCCGTAACTAATACATTTATGATACTAATATATACGTAATGTATATATATATATATATATTATTGTAGTAGACCAGTTAGAAGGGTGGTGTTCGTAGCGCATTTGATTACGTAAGACAAGGTTATAGGTTTATAGCATTTAGGTAATGCTGATGAGGGTGTGGAGATGGTGACCTAAAAGGTTGCTTATCAGTCAGCATCTTTCAATTGGAGAATTAATTTCCCCGTTAACCTAGTGTTCGACATTACTATATTTGCCCTGTTTAGGGCAGATTTTCTGTATTTTAGAATACAATGCTTATCGGTTGATATATGTCTGGATTTTAATTCCTTTTGCCAGAAAACGTTAAAGAAAGTTTTTCTGTATCCGCGGACTGTGAATCTGAGAATTCATGGTTCAGGTCCTGTTGCAAGAACGAGTATATAATGTATATAATGTACAATGAACAATTTCCTGCTTTCTCATGTTCCTTATCCATCAACAACTACTATTCAAATCATTAATCGTCTTCGTACAGTTGTTGTAATTTTCATTCTTCTGTGACATAATCATTGTTTTTCCTATCTCAGCCACAGTTTTTCATACATCTTCTGCAGTCTTCTGTTAATGTTGTCGTGCAGTGAAGCTGTTCAAGTTTGTTTATTTTAGAGCCACATTGGGCTATCTGATCTATCCACCGCGGGAAGAATCGAACCCCGGATTTTATTGTTATAATTCTGTAGAATTGCCGCAATCCCACCGTGGGACGAAGTTGCTTAAGAGTAGGCTTACAATACTTGGCCAAATAATTCCTAACATCTTGGTTACTCAGCGGTCTGCTGATTTCACTGTGTGCTTACCTGTATGATTAATTTTTCATTACGCATTAAGACTAACACAGTAGCATTATATTATAGTTTAGAAACCTTGGCGTAACTTTCAGCAAGATTAAAAATTACAATGCATACATATTTCATTTTTTGTTTTCTTCGGCACTTAATAAATCATAAACATATATATATTCTTAATACTTCAATGCTTACATTTCGTAAAAGTTCCAAGTCCCCAGGTTATCTGAGGAGCTGAGAGCTGCAATGAATTACAAAGTAAATATATGCCCCTTTAAGAGTTAAAGTATTTTGCATAACTTTGATAAATCGATTCAACGTTCATCAAATATTTAGATAAATGAAATCATATATGCTACCGACTTATTTAAGATAGTGGGCTTCGAATTATCATACAGAAAGCAAATAGAACATGAATGTCGCCACTTCAACATTTATATATGTATATATATGATTAATTTTCTCTCAGCAATTGGCAAATTTCATTCTATAAGTACTGATAGCTTTGTTCATTTTCTTATCTGTTGTGTATTACTAACTGATTCGTTTGTATACATAGCTCTTTTTTATCACATGAAGTTTGAATAACCTAGTCTCATATAGTTTCATAATCATAGCAAACTTGTTAGTTCCAGAACAATGATTTCTGTTAAAACGTGAACAGAGCTCAAAGCTATCCGTTATTTGGAATAGGTTATATAACCTTAATTTAAAGAATGATTCTAAGTACAAGTTAAAAATATACTGGCAAGATGTCATGCTACAAAAATAAGTGAAAACTATTTACTATAAGGCAGATAATAGTAAAGAAATAATAAAGTATATTCAAAACGATGATATTTCTGTTTAGCGTATGAAATATATTGAAGTAGAAATAGTTACTTGTATCACTGAATTTTCCTGATTATTTGAGGTCATCGGGTGTACTGGAACCGGAAAATAAGTGGATTGCTCAGCTTTTAGCAATCTAAGGAAGTGGTGTTTAAAAAATTGTTTTGAACTTCACATAATTTCTAAGGAACGCAATTTGAACCTTTTTCTTGGATTTTTGAGCTTCTAGTTTTGGTTTGAAGCAAGTATAGTTTCGGTAGATTAACAAAAACACAAAATTTAATGTAAAATGAGTATGCCCTTCTTGAGCATTTAAATATTTAATTTTAATTATCTAAAACACATAACTTTCAAAAACATTTTTCTAAGCCTAACATCATTAGTGATGCAGTTATATTTTGTGCATATATGAAAGCTATTGATGGAGTAATATTATATCAGGAGTGCACACAAACTAAAACATACATGCCTTTTAGAGAATGTTTACTCTGAAACTGCCTACTATTTTCTCTTATTTCAGAACACAAAGTGTCCTGTCATATGGCTTTAATCCTGCACTACTAAAATGTTACAGTTTGTAACAAGGTTGCTAAAAAAATAAGGTAATTTTATATGTATAACGGTATTAGTTCATTAGATAAGGCAGATACAGTGTGGTTTACATGTTATGACATATTCTTCTTTGATTTCACTCGTAAGTTCTTAGAATCACAAAGAGTTTGTTTTTATTTCGTTTAAACTGTACATTCTTGATCTGTGCGCCCCCTCTTCTGAATAATAGTAACGTTAATTATAATAAAATAATAATAATGAATTATCGGTGTTGAATATAAGTAAATAAAGAATATTGTGTTAATTAATATTTACCTTAATTCTGATTTATAAATTACTTAAATAAAGTTTATAATAATTACACCTCACTTATTCTAGTTCGTGCCATAAGTTCCATTTCATTACATAGATTAGTTCATTGTTTTACGTTTCTTAATATTAATAAGTTTGGATAAAGAAAACTCACGTAAATTAATCAGTCGAAGGACGAAATAACAGATTCTTAAATCTGTGTTTTTGTTTTGCAGTATGAATGTATATATTAACAAAATAAATGTATAAACATACGATCGCAGGAAAGCATATGTATTATTGAAACTGTACTAATGATAAGCTTTTTAAGTTTTTTCTAATGGTTCAGTACTAAAAACCCTCAGCATGAAAACAGAAGTAAACGACTTGGTGAAATTATTTGATATTATTGCTACAATCGCAGAAGCTAAGCCTGTCAGTCCCCCTGCTGACTGAATGACTGATGTAACATCTGTAATTGTTTTATTGTTGGTCTTGATATTCAAGTATCGAAGTTCGTGTTTTGTTCTTTCTTTACATTTTCTGGTTTTCTTAGCTTAATGACAATATTTTCTAGCATTCTAAGTTGGAATTCTTCCCCAGAAAGACAATGGCGCGGAAGAAACTGAAGGTATGCCAACATAACTTTCGTTTAGACAGTGGTCAGTAATACTATTGGTGTTTTATGATTTAGCGATACACTGATATTTTATTAGACTGCAGAGCCATCTAATGGTTGATCCAATATATCCATGGTTGGACGCGAACTCATATACCACTACAGATATATTCAATGGATGTTGCTTGAAGAACCCTTTTAACTTAGGGTCTGTTTTAAATACACATTTTAACTGAACTCGTGAATATAGTTATTTGATAATTTTATTTTTAATCATATATGAAATAGTGTCTAAGTAAAGCATGACTAAAATAACAGTTTTCTTTAGAGCACCTAACAGAACAACAGATGCGGTATTTAGTTATTAAAATGTTATCTGATCGATAAGGTTTAGACGGCTTGTGGTAATTAATTTACAGTGAACAAAATGAAGGTGATTGTTGGTGAAGCTATTAACTGATGTATTCGGTACACGATCGTGTTACCATTCGCCCAATTCTGTAGGTGAATTCGTTAAAAAATATCGCAAAATAGGTACACATTATTTATAGCAGACCAGAATTCATTGTAACTACGTCAGTGTAGTAGATATACAATAATAAATGAAATTGTATGCTTTAATATGAGTATGATTAAAATGGTAACATATCCTAAACAATGAGTGGATGGACCGGACAAAGTTGACAGTGCTTCTGAAGTGCGCGAGATTATGTCGCTACGCTAGGTCTTCTGGTTTTACTCTAATAGCAATATCAATAGTGTGAAACAAATATATTATCAAATAAGTCCCCCCCCCCGGTCGGCACAGCGGTATTTCTGCGGAATTACATCGCTAAAAACCGGGTTTCGATACCCGGGGGGGGGGGCAGAGCACAGATAGCTCATTGTGTAGCTTTGTGCTGAACTTCAAACAAACAATCAAATAAGGGACCTGTCATGTGCATGGATTGAGGTTTTTTTATTTGTTTATTATGTTTGAATTATTCTGTAATATAATATATATATATATAATGCCTCTTTAAGTATATTCTACGTTTGATATACAAATTATAATAGCTTATGGTGTGGTGTTAATAAATTGTAACTAATTCCAATTTTTCGTTTTCCATCAACTAATAATAATTCGATATATTGAATAAAGTCCATCAACAGCTACACAACATTATGACCAAATTTGTTTCGTAATGCCAAAATTTATAACCAGCGTCAATAGGAAAGATAAACGATTTAAAATCAGTGTGTATCGTAATGCTGGTGATTAGTAGACATACACATATCTGGTGTTGAATACACATGCACACACACACATATATATATATTGTGTGTATCCAGATATGTATTTCTACTAATCACCAACATTACGATACACACTGACGTGTGCGACTGTACCACACACATACACACACAATAGTATATATATATATATATATATACGTATTCAACACCAGATATGTATTTCTACTAATCACCAGCATTACGTTACACACTGATTTGTGAAGTGTACCCTGCTGAATATATATATATATATATATACATTGTTTGTGTATGGGGGAAGTGTACAGTTGCACACATCACTGTGCACCATAAGGCTGGTGATTAGTAGCAATACACCTCTGTATAATAAGGGATTGCAAGAGTCAGAAATGAATCTAGTCGCTTAATAACTCTGCAGATCATAAATCGCGGTTTATCTCTTCCTTATTTTCCGATACTTTAGACTCTCGTCTCTTGAATTTATTATTGTTTGCTTAAACATGGTTAAAAAGATATTACGATTGTCAGAAATTATCCATAAACGACAACAGACAACGCAAAAACACCATTTTAAAGAAAATATTTGACATTCAGTGTGTCATTTTCCTTATACTTTAGTCTTCCGAATAGTAAACACCTATCTCTTGTATAGTTACTGCAGCACAGCATAACACTTGACTTATATGAGATACAATGGTCACATAGGTAGATTCAAACACACCATCAATTACATTACCTGTGCGCTAGTAATGTTAAATTATCTGTTCTATCCCAACATGTATATGCGCCAAAGTTACCTGCAGCCAATATCCTACAGCGAATTCTAGCTAAATAGGAACAAGAAAAGAATACACAAAATAAGTTACCTATATAACCATAAGTAAAGAGATAAATAAATCACTTAACTATTTTATTTTTCCCGGTTTACTTAGCTCACCACCTGATATGATTTATTGTGAGTTTCGACCATGGCTTTGTTGTTCTAGTCATGTTAAACAGTTCTTAGACTTTCTAAAGCTTAAAGCGAATAACATTTGTCTAGAAGATAAAGAAAGTATGTAATATATGACATAGATATTGATGCGTCCAGCAAATTGTTTTAGAATAAAGCTTTAGTCTTAGCAATGGAGAAAATGTATAATGTTTCATAAAGCAGCACTAAGGAAATACAGGTACAAACTACAAAAAGTGATAAAAGCAGCACTGAGGACAAATAGGTATAAACTACAAAAAGTGAAACATAACACATCAAATTAAAACTTTACAATGTATCACACAATAACACTGAAGATTATGAGTACATGCTAGAAAAAGTTTTGTTTACGTTGACCAAAAAACGGTTTACGACATACCACTCTACTGAAATTATATGACAACGAAATGCAAAATATAGTGAAATTTCAAATTTCCAAGTTTATAACGTACCACACAAACGTTATCGATAATAATGGACAATAAAGTATGGGCAAATAAATAACATCGCTGACAGGTA